GGGGGGATGCATCTTTGACACTATCTGCTGGCAGAGCAGGGGGGCTGTTGGCGAAGGCAGCTCCTGCCGACAGAAAGGCTCCTGCGCCGACAGCAGGCAAGCTGCTGCTGCCGAAACCTGTAACGCTAAAACTTTTTGTCCGGTGCTTGCACGTGAGCGTTCAAGCCTTGCGTTGTGCTTTATCTCTCGTTTTCTCAGCTTGCTGGCTCTTTGAGGCAAAACCGTTGCGCGGTTTGTAACGCGATGCGTTTTGTAAGTGAATCAGGCCTAGGAGTTGGTCAGCGTTGTTATGCTTTCTCATTTCCTACTCTTGCTCTGTGATTTCCTGTAAACCTTGACAGAGAATTTCAGATCTGTTCTTTTGGGCCTGCCCTGAGGGCATCAGGCTCTTTGCCTTTGCTTAATATTTCCCCTTAAGTATTTCTCATGATGGTTTTTTTGTCCCTGGCTGGTTTGTGGTGGGAATAACTTTCTTTTCTCTATTTTTCCCCAGAAAACATGAAGGAAGTGAAGGAGCCGAGGCATCGCAAAGACAACAGGCGCCCAGACTTGGAGATTTACAAGCCTGGCCTCTCCCGACTGAGGAGCAAACTCATGCCACCAAAGCACGAGGCCTCAGAGAAGGAGAGGAGCAGAGCTGAGGAGGAGAATGCCAGCGACAAGGGCCCTTCGGGAGGAGAGGCTCTAGTCATGGAGGATTTCGGCAAAGGTGATGGTGGCCCTAAGCAGAATGGTCCTTCGCAGGAAAACGAAGAGACAGAGACTAAAGGTGGTCTTCAGAGCCAGGAGAACTTGTCCAAGCAGCCTGCTCCAGATGAGTGGTGTCCCAAGACCACCAGGAGAACTAAGAAGCCAGACCAGCAGATCTACCAGCCTGGGAAACGCCTGCATTCAGCTGCTAAAGAACCAGCCCTGCGGTCAGCTACTGAGGAAGTCACCGGTAAGATGGAGCAGCTGAAAGTCGAGGGAGATGAAGAGGCTGAAAAAGGTACTGGAAAAGACAACAACAGGAAAACCAAATCAAGCAAGGAAGATAGAGAGGGGAGCCAGGCAGGGGAAGGAGTGAAAGCCTCAAGGGGAGAAAAAGGAAGACGAATAGAACGAAATGACAGGATAAGGAGAACAAGCGACGAGGTGATGCAGGGGAAGCTGGGCTCTACCAAACGGTACTCCCGCTCTGATAAGCGGCGGAGCCGATACCGCACCTGCAGCACAAGTTCAGCCGGAAGCAATAACAGCGTAGATGGAGCCCCGCTTGTGGACAGGGTGGAGAGGCGGCAGGAGCGTGCCAGAGAAAGAATACGGCCTAGGAAGCAGCTCTCTGCGTCTTCCACTGACTCCTTGGACGATGACAGAATCGATGAGGCAGAAGCATATGTCTTCAGCCGGAATTTCATCATGAATTCAGACAAGAAAAAGCGTTCAGAGCAGAGTCGAGCTTCTAGGAGCGAGAGCGAGTGGAGCAGCAATGGCAGGGAAGTCAAGGGACCCTTTCGAGTCACATTTGACAGCAAGACTATGAGCAGGGATATCAGTCTGGCAGATACAGATAAAAAAAAGCCCCTGAAGGCGTTCGTTAGTTGCAATGACTCAGAGGCTTCAGAGTCGAGGAGCCAGAGCAGAGAGCCCCAAGGGAGGGGCCGTGGGATTCTGTTCCTGCCTGCCAACACGGACCTCTCTGCCAGCACTGCGGGCTCCCCCGAACCCAGTCACCCTGGGCCCAGGCTCCTGCTTGGTGGTGCTGGGAGTAAAGGCCCCCGAAGCAGGGGCCGAGGCGGCACTGCTCGCAGGCTGTGGGACCCAAATAACCCAGACCAAAAACCTGCCCTGAAGAACCAGACCGCTCAGCTTCACTTCCTAGACACAGACGATGAAGTGAGCCCCACCTCCTGGGGGGAAGCCCGCCAGGCCCAAACGTCCTACTATAAGTTCCAAAACTCTGACAACCCCTACTATTACCCTCGGGCCTCTGGTCAAGGCCCCCAGTATC